ACACACACACACACACACACACACACACACACACACACACACACACACACACACACACACACACACACACACACACACACGGAGAGAAAAGATTTGCTATGAACGCTAATCCTATGCCATATCGCAAATTATTTGCAGGTGTAGTAAATTTTTAATCTTTTCTCGTTACAAAAATTATTTGCAACGAGTACAGAACATTTATTAAATGTGCAAATTTGTTTATTACAAATAGAAAGCAAATTTGATGATGCAATCCCTTTGCATTATAGCAAAATCAAATTTTTCTCAATGCAATGGAAGTTAAAAATAATAAATATTTAACTCAAGAGACTGGGTTCAGACCACAGAAAGGGTAGTTTTATTGAAATATTAAAAAAATGAACTAGATACACAGATCTGAAAATAATCTCGCTGGATCATCAAAATAATTTTTAATTACGTCAAAGTGATGAACAGTGCTGCAAAAAGTTTTGACAATTTAGCAACCGTTTGAACATCTTATATAATTTGATGGCTCAACAAAATTGTTTTCTGCTAAATTTTTAGAATCGTTTTTATCGTATGTGCTTTCGGGGATGTATATCATAAGCTCGAGATGCGCGATCGACCGCATCAAATCGTTGAATTCCGATGTCTTCAGCCGGCATCGCGGAATATAGTATAGTGAGAAATTATGCTGTGCGTATCAGTCGTTGCATAATGGTTAAAAACGATGAGATATAGAGAGCCGAGAGCGGCGATACGATTATGTAAGAAGACAAACCAGTTGTCGAGAGCTCGCGAAAATGTAATTTTCACTCGCGGAAAATTTTATAGTTGTCGTTTTATAGTTGTTGGACAGTGTTTTTATTTTTAACAAAGTTGTTATCTCGTGGATCTATCGCATTCGAGCAATATCTATCTTCGAGGAACCTCGGTTTCCTTTGTAATGTCTCTATCTTTTTTTCAAAGGACTGATCGATACTCTTTCTTTGGCGCGATCTCAATCTCCCATTTGTTTACTAACTTGACTCGGTCTCTTAAAAAGATAATTAGCGTTATA